TCTTTCCCCCTTTGAGAGGCGTTGGGTCAGTACAGACCACACCTAAAGTGAAACATGGGTTTTTGGTGCTTGGTCTATTTAAAGTGACTTTGAGGAGTTTAGCTGTAGTTTCCGGGGAAGGTGAGAGCTGCATTTATATCCTTTGATTGGTAAGGGCTCAAAGAGATTGCTCTGGAAATCCTCATTCTCTTTCCTCTATGACAAAGATTGCTTCACCCCAAGGCGCTCTCCAGTCTCTTTTTAAGATTTATTTGAGTCTTCCCTCCTCCTGTTACCTACCTCATTGAACTCACTTTAGTTTCTCTGCAGGTCTTTCCCAGGATCTAGAAATTGCCAGTTGGAGCTTTCTTACTTCGCCTGTAGAAGCCATTAATCAACTACAGAGAAAAACAAAATATTTGCTCCGATGTTTGTTTTGGTGTTTAGTCATGAAGTGGGTTTATTACTTACGGTACTTCTTTGCTATCTCTATTACTTCTGTGTCTCAGGGATTGTGCTGGATGTTTAAGAAAGCCTTATCCCATAATTCTTTACCTACTTCCCCAGGAAAGGAGAACAGACAGGACCAAAACCCCACCATAGATCTACCTTTTTTCCTCATGCATTTAAACCTTAGATGCAGGTGGAAAACTGAATGTCACTTTAATCCAAGCATTACCATAACTATGTCATAAATGGAACCATCATTCGTAAGAAGACCCTGTCTCTTTAGGATCATTTTCAGACCTAGTGCGATAGTGACTGCAACTCCAGCGTCAAGTGACTTCAGATGCTTCTAACTTTGATGTTCCTGTTTGTTCTGTAGGATGGGCACGTGGAAGTGGCACGCTTGCTTTTGGACAGCGGTGCTCAAGTGAACATGCCTGCAGATTCATTTGAGTCTCCACTTACTTTGGCTGCTTGTGGTGGGCACGTGGAGTTAGCAGCTCTCCTGATTGAGAGGGGAGCTAACCTGGAGGAAGTTAATGATGAAGGTTATACTCCTCTAATGGAAGCTGCCCGGGAAGGCCATGAGGAGATGGTTGCCTTGCTGCTGGCACAAGGTGAGAGCACTCTTGTTTCTTGAGCGTTCCTTTCTAAGAATGCCATGCTGACTATTTGCCACTAAGTATTAGGTGCAAATTCCCCTGATGTAGCGTGTGCCTGTCACTGCTTGTTGCTGTAACTACAGAGCAAAGCTAACACACCCAAACAGTGGAGATGATGAGCATTCACCTTCCTACCCTGTGTCTGGTCAGCTAAAGTAACAGCTTTTTTGTTTCCTAGGGGCAAATATAAATGCACAGACAGAAGAAACACAGGAAACAGCTCTTACTCTGGCATGCTGTGGAGGGTTTTCTGAAGTAGCTGACTTCCTTATTAAGGCAGGAGCTGATATTGAACTTGGTTGCTCAACACCTTTGATGGAAGCTGCTCAAGAGGGTCATCTTGAATTGGTGAAATACTTGCTGGCAGCAGGTATGTGTACAGTGCAAACAGCCTAGCCCACAGATACCATAGACTCAATGTTATGTATAGTTTAGAAGATACCTGAGCTTGTTTGTGTCAGTGCTTTAACAAGAAACTATATTATCAGATACTTTAGCAAGAAGGAAAAAGCATATGATACATGTCAATATTGTGTGATGCTGTTAACAGAGGAAAGTGCCTCACAGAGCCCTGGGTTGTGCGGCATATCTAGAACCATCCATATCCATTAGGAATGTTGCTTCCAGCTAACAGCATTTAAGACAAAATGTTAATGCAGATAATGCCTGGTTTAATATGTTGCTTCTGCTTTGACTGAGCCTAGTTATGTGCAGTCAATCTCCCTAAATAACCAGTACATTAGGAATTGTGCCTTGGGAAATAGTGTGCAAGACAGATTCTGGAATGTGCTGGATTTCTCTGAGGAATGAGTTTTCCTACTATACAACACAGTAGTAAAAGTTCAGGCTTGCCTGCAGTTGGGGGGAAATGACACTTCAGTTTTCATCTGTCAGCTGAAAGTAGGTAGAGACTGAAATGTAGTCATACTGCTTAAATAAATGAAAGGGAGCTGCATTTTTGAAATCTTCTTTGTTATGGGAGTTATTTATTTGTATGCTCTTTCCTAAGCAGGAAATCGTCTGGATTTGTAATTCTAGAAAGTAATGCTTGCTGCTTAGGGAGGGACAGTGACAACTGCATCTCTTTGTGCAGTGACACCAGGCTGTGACACCTGTCACCAGCTTGCTGGGAATGCTGCTTGCACTTCACTTCTGATAATGTGGAGAGTGAATTGAGGAGCCTTGATTTGGCATCAGGGAGTCTCTAAATATATCTCACACCTTGAGGATACAAAAATGGCTAATCACATTGGCTTTTGTTGACAGTAATGCGTTACATACCCAGAGCCATGCATAGCATGAAAGCTGTATGGAGGCATGTATGAAGCTAGTCAAATTATTTCAACAAAATGGTTTTAAAGCAAATTATTTTAAGGAGTAGGGAAGAAATGAAATATGTACAAGTGTATGGTCTTGGAGCATTAATACTAATTAAATAATATGCATTTTGTCTGGTTTTTCCTTGGCATGCAGCTCCTGTCAAATGGATAGTCTAGACAGCTGTCTGGATTCACTTTTATGTGTTGTAACAACTGGAATCTTCATTGCTGTAGAGGGAATATAGGAATAAGTGAGCATACAGGTGCTCAGATTGCTGGTCACGCTTTTTCCAAGCCTTTGCTTCTCCTCAGAGTATTTTTACTACAAGAGCAATTTTTACCATGAAAGCAATGCCCTTGGGCTGTGAAGCTCTTGGTCACAGATGAAGTGCCTTGATTTTTGTGTTTATCTGATACAAAATGCTTGATAAGGTGATGTCCAGTATGAACAAGCTACTGTTGTGTTTCTAGGAGCGAATGTTCATGCCACCACAGCAACAGGAGACACAGCTTTGACCTATGCCTGTGAAAATGGACATACTGATGTTGCAGATGTGTTGCTTCAAGCTGGTGCTGATCTGGTAAGATTTCTGCTGGCTTTGGTGGGGAAGGTACTTTGGTTTCAAACTGTATGCCAAAGCTGACATGATTGCAGAGTAGAAAGGCAATTTTAGCAATTGAGATTCACATATGGGTGCAAAAACAGGCACAGAAGAAACTTTTTAAAGAAGCCTGCACATTGTTGGGTCTAAAAAAACCCCCAAAAGTCTTATTGGGTAATCTTACATCTATTAAGTGAAAAGTTTTATCTACAGCTTATACTTGTGAAAGTTCATTATCTTTTTGGGTTGGGATTTTTTTATTTTATTTTTTTTTGTTTCTTTTTTTTGTTGCTGTTTTTGGTTTTTTTGTTTGTTTGTTTTTTTAATCAGGGGGTATTTTTACTAGGAGGGGCTTTTGACAAGGGCCTTGTAGGCACAGGATGAGGGAGAATGGCTTTAACCTGCCAGAGGGGAGACTGAGATGAGTTCTTAGGCAGAAGCTCTTCCCTGTGAGGGTGCTGAGGTGCTGGCACAGGGTGCCCAGAGAAGCTGTGGCTGCACCATCCCTGGCAGTGTTCAAGGCCAGGTTGGACTCGGGGGCTGGGAGCAACCTGCTCTAGTGGAAGGTGTCCCTGCTTCTGTCAGGGGGTTAGAACTGGATGAGCTTTAAGGTCCCTTCCAACAAAAAACAGTCTGGGATTCTGTCATTACAGTATAATCCATAAGTTTTATTGTTTAGCAGGAGATATTTCTGCATTGTTTTCATTCATTATGCTACTTCGTTATTCCCAAACTCTTGTGGGTTAGAGTTTACTTGCTCCACTTGTCTGATTTTAAAATGTTCTAGTATTAGAAGCTAGTAATACTCTAGGGTTAGTTTCTGAACTAAGAGACTGTGAGTCTGGTAACTTTTTAAAACTGCAACACAAAAAATGCCAAACTAAGCAATGCCTTTTCAGTGACCAGCATCAGATGATCTCTGTTCTTTGTCCCAGAACTATTCTTTTTCTTGTAACTCTGGGTTTTAGTGTATTCCTTTCACAGTGTTTATTTTCTGTAACACGTTTAATCATAACTAAGCTGTTTCCATAATTGTTTTGATTTTTTTTTTCCACATTCTATAGTGAGAGACCTAAAACTGCCTCTTCATCAGCCAGAGAGATACGGTGTTTGTTTGGCTTTTAAACAGTAAAGCCCAACTGATCTGTTAGTCTTCTAAAGCAGTTTAGGAGTCTCATGCTCCAAAGATAAGCAGAGAAGATTATTTCTTTGTTGCCTTTTTGTTGCTTTTTTCTTTTTTTTTTTTTTTTTTCTCCCACTATTTCTTCTTTTTCCACACTCTCTGCTTGTGTGGGGTTTTTTGGGGGGGAGGGTCTTGAGGTTTTTGTTGGATATTTTAGGGTGTTTTATTCCTTTCAAATAGTAAAGGATGCCAGAAAATTTTATCATTGAACCTGATAGATGAGCATCCTAATGAAGGTACTTAAATTTCAGTCTTAAATGTTTTAATTTTTCAAGTCTATATTTACAACTACAAATAAATGAATGCTGTAATGGTGAATTAATAATAATCCCACTCTTCCTTATGAATAGTAGTCAATGTCTGCTTCATGTGTTCCTACCAGGGAGGAAGGGTGTGTTGGTGGAGGGGGGTGTTTGTGTGTGCTGCACTTTGCTCACTTCAGTGGTGGGTGCCAAGCATCAGCCACTTGAGCAGGGACAGAGTAGGGGTTTGGGGTTCTGTTGGATATTTAAATAAGTACTTGGTTATAAATAGATATAAGCCATGAAGTATCTTTATAGTGAGGAGCAAAGCATGAAGCAAAAAATATTAACTGCATAAACTTTTAAATTAAAGCATTCAAGGGTTGCTGCTTAAATGTCACTTCAAGTTATTAGTGATATCACTTGGATTATTTCCCCTCTCCTCACCAAGGTTAGCAGTGTTTGTGGCCTTTAGCATCTAGTTCAGATCAGTTTTGCAGAGAAATATCTTGTGCCTCTCTATAGTAGTTTTATTTTACTGCATTTTCTTGTTCTGCCAATCAAAATGAGAAGCCCTCAAGAAAAATACTGTAGGGAAGCAAAGGAAAATTGCCCATGAAAGGGAGACCTGCCATGTAAATCTACCAGTGTTGGATTCTGATTTTAAGTAAATGGGGGAACACCTGGAAACTGCAGCAATGCTTAGGGCAGGTGCCTCAGGTTTGGAGCAGTTTCCTTTCAAACCTTTGTGTGGTTTTGCTGCATTTAGGAGTTGTGAGTTCTTGTGAATAGAATTATCTTTGTACTGGGGAAGGTTCCTGAAGTGTGTGGCCTTGCTGCTGGGCTATGAAAAACCTTCTTTGACAGTACCACGGGAAGTTAGTTTTCCAGATTCCAGTTCTTGTTGGTAATTGAAATGAGGTTGGATTATTTCAGCAGACTGTCCCAGGAAGTCTGTGGTGGAGCAGGGAATTGAATGCATATCTGGACTTCAGCCTCTGCTTGGTCTGTCTTCATCTGTCTGGTTAATTTTGCTCTTCTTCTGATGTTGAGACACAGCAAATGAAAGTACATGTCCAGTTGGGTCTCTTTCTTTCCTTTTTCATCCTACAACTTCAGTCTTACTTGGGATTGCTTCCACTGATGTTTCATTGTTTTCCAGAAACCTTCATACCTGAGATTTACATGCAGTCACTTGAGGAGCTGCATGTACAACATCTTACCCTCTTGTGGAGTGGTCCTTTCTGTGGAAAACACTGGTTATGTCATGAACAGTAACAAAACAGAGCTGAGGGCTGTTCTCTGACTGCAAGGACAAATGGCACATGCATCCATGCCGTGCCAGCACTGGGCGTGGTAGGTCACTGAGCTTGGGGCTGTGCCCCTGTGTCTGTAAGGATGTCAGTGGCTACGACGCAGCCCACTAGAGTGGTATTTTCATCCAACAATACTGGGAGCATACAATGGACACCTCTGGGTTGTGGGATGAGGTCTTGAAGAGGTTCGTGTGATGCTTCCTAGATAAGTGGAGAGTAATCTGATGTCATGTTTTGCATGCTGTCCACTGGGAGCAGTCCTTGGTGACCTTCTCTCCTGTTGTTCTTGACAGGGCTAGTACTATGCCACGGTGGCTGTAGGGGAATAAACAGAGTGAATGACCAGTGATCCCATGCCTAAGCTTGTCTGCTGGCCCTGTTTTATTTACCCATAGATTTGTAGCAAGTGCTGGATTATGCTGCTGTTGCTTTATTGGTTTGTGAGCCACCTCCATATTCTGTCTTCTTCCAGGGCAGGCAGGCAGGCAAGGAGCATAGTTTCTGAGGATTTTTCTTCTCCCTGATTCCAGATCAAGGAAAGAAAATGGTTCATTCTTCCCCAAATGCTCTTGGGTTAAAGGAACACTGAACACTAGCTGTCAAGATTGGTTGTGATCCATTTCTTCACAATTCAGAACCTTTATTCCATGATTTGGAAAGCGCATAATCTATTCTAAGACCTCAAATCTTTCCTGGCTTCTCAAGTCTTTCCTGGCTTCTCAAGTCTCTCTTCAATGGCCCAGGAGGTTAGGACTGACTGGGAGTTGAGGTGCAAGCTTTGAGACTGCAGATGTGAAAGGAGCCTCTCCCATACTGGATTAGCCAAATTGGCAGAGGCAGAAGATGTTTGTCAGAGGGGTTCCTGTATCGTGCTCATGGAAAACTGAAGTTTTCCAACTTTGGAGTTGCCCACGTCATTCTATTGAACAGATTCTTGTGTTTTGCTCATGTCTAGTTCAGGTTTTCTCAATCTCTGAATAGAACCTTGAGCTAAAGTTTGAGCATGTTTTATGATGAGGGTGGTGAGATACTGCAGCACGTTGCCCAGAGGAGTTGTGGATGCCCATCACTAGAAAAGTTCAAGTGCACGTCCACTAGGTTGGACGTGCACTTGGCAGGTGGGGGGACTAGATTATCTTTGAAGGTCCTGTCCAACCCAAACCATTCTCTGATCATTATATGGTAAGGGATTCTAGTTCCAGTAAAGTTTTTGTCTGAAGTGGAAGTGATTTTTTTTTTTTTTACCACCACGTCTCAGCACAAAAGGCTGCTGTTCTTGGAAGTAGAACACGGGAGCTCTTTGCTTTTCAGGACTGATCTTCTGGCCTACGTATCAACTATGTAATTCAGTTCAAGGGCCAGTGACGACCTTGAGAACTCTGTTAGATTCATTAAGGAGTGTGGCTTTATAAGAACCAGCAGAACTGAATGAAAATGATGACAGAGGTGAATTTTCTCTAGTTAGTGGTTTATTTTTCCTTTAAACTCTGCATTGACAAGTTCTTCTAGAAACAAATGGTGTCAGAGCTCACACTGCCTTGGTCCTGTCTGCTGCAGAGCTTCTCAATCACATATGGTATCCTGATGAATTTGTATCTCCTTGGGACTAATTGTTCATGAAGTCTGGCTTGTTACCAGTTATTCTGCTGCTTTTCTGCTGCCCTTCTTGAAGGGATCTGTCTTTTCCATGTCCTTACAGGGACAAAGTTGGCCTGTCAGAGTCTGTAACAAAGCTAGCTTGGCAGGCCCTACACCTTTCCTTGCTAATGTATGCATTTTGAAATCAGCTTGCTCTTGCCAAGCATATGAATGACTTAATATGAGGCACGCCTGAAGCCTGTGATCCCATCTGTGCCTTAGTCGCATCCTAATCCCTTTATCGCCTGCAGGACTGCAGACTTCCAGGGTCTTAGGCTGAACTTCTGCCACTGGACCAAATGTAAATTTTTACTTGTTTACAAAGCTCTTTGTTGGGGTCAAAACACCTATTTTAGATTTTTGTGATTAACAGGAGTAAAACTTTAGAGATTAGAACCCTAAATAGAATTTGATAGAAGATTTTTTTTTTCTAGATGGCAATATGGTTTAGTAGGTTCAGGAGAGTAGAACCAGCACTTCAATAAGACAATTATTTACCTGTGTTGTGAGGATTTCTCTGACCTCGAAGGTTAGAAGAGACTTTTCTTTTGCCTGTAAGAGTTCTCTTTTATTTTATTTTTTTTTTTCCTCTTCTTTGTG